TTTTTTCTTTTTATAAATGAGGCTGCTATCATGTCCTTATATGTTCATGAATCAACAAAACCTTTTAATCAAAAGAAAAATCAGCAAAACCATAATCAGTGACGTCATGAATATTTAGTAATCCTATTTTTTAATCTTGAAAAGCTACTCCCTCACTCAATCATCAAAATTTCAAGGTTATATATAGACTTAAAACAGACTTTGTCAAGTACGGGGCAGACTTTGTTTTGATTAAGTTATACCTAAGTGAAGTGTAAGTTAAGGATGGAAGTAAATTTGAATATTTTTGTATCAGTAAAATAAAATATTTTATAAATAAAAAAAGATTATTTTTAAGAGAAATGATTATTATCTGTTTATTTCAGAAGACACAGTACATAATATATGTTGGACTGCCATGTGCAGTCGGATGGGCTCGAGGGCAGAAGCAGTTTTTACCCCAGTGATTGCTTTATAATTTTTATTTTATTTTATTTTTAAATTAAATATAGAGTGCAATTAACATTGTTTATATTTCGACCCAGGTAGAATATGATATTATAAAAATTAGTGTGAAAATTCAACTCGTAGGTTTCAGCTTAAATATAGGTGGGTAATGCTTCTTGTATTTAGTTCATACGCTTTCTTGTTATTTTACTAATATAGGGTTTTTCCACTTGACAATTAACACTCCAACTGAGTTAACAAATGAATCAAGTCAGAACTTACAGAGTATGTTGAGCTTTCCGTTGAAAAGAGAGACGACTTCTTCGGTTGGCTTTTCTCATTCAACTCAGGAAGATACATCACAGACTGAACCAGTGACTATGACTTGGAATCCCTTCTTCTGCCATTTAGCTAAGCAGTCATTAAGGTCAGTTTGGTTTCGAGAACAGGTATGTACTCTGGCTCCAAATGCTGCTAAATCCTCCACAACAGCATACCCAATGATAGATATTCACAATATATATTTAGTAGTTGATTAGGTGGAAAATGAATGGAGATAGACTAAGGTGGGGGTAGATATATAGAAGAACGAACCCTATTCTTTTTGTTCCAGCAGTTACTAGAGCCGTTGTGTTTTTTACTCTGTCTTTGCCATCTTCCCTCTGTTTTCTGAGTTCCTGTACATGTAATGTTTGTATCTCAAAGGAAGACAAAAGATACCAAACAAATATAAATATTATGAAGCTAAAAACCGAGGAACAATGGGCGGTGAATTCAAGATAATGTAATTTCAATGACGCGCCATAAACGTGGGGATTAAGGTATTAACCAGTTCAACAATATTTAGTGTATTTTAAAGCTTGGAATGAAGCATGAAGAATTTAGTTAATTTGTAATTGGTAAACAGTACAATATTTTTAGTGAAAATGAATTGGAGCTCCTCTGGTTCTGGGAGCAACCAGAACAGTGACAAAGACCAGATCATGTTCCTTCGGTCTCATGAGAGGACAAGATCAAATGTGACAGCAGTCGAATCCTTATCCAAGGGCATTGTCTGAAGCAATTGAACATCATGAGAGCTTATTAATTATTGACTTTTATTTAACATTGAATCAATTTAGCCTTTTATTCCGTAATACAATGTCTTGGAAATTTTGCTAATGTTTTCAATTGGGTTGGAAGAAGAAGCCTTTAACAGTTGCCCCACCGTCGACGCAAATAGTCTGCCCTGTTATATATGAGGCTGCAGGCATGCACAAAAATGCCACCATGGAGGACACCTCCTCAGGCTCTGCTACGCGTGCTTGAGGAACGCTGGTGAAAAATGCCTTCAAAAGATTCTCATTTTTCAAATACTGCGACAGAAGGAAAAATCAGAAAACTTTTGTTAGTTCAATCTATGCTCAAGTTTTGAGAACAATTGTCCAGTGTGTACAAGAAGGAAACTCACAGGGTCAACCAAGGGGGTTCTGGTGAGGCCAGGTGCTACACAATTAGTTCTTATGCCGTCTTTAGCCCACTCACAGGCCAAATTCTTTGCCAATTGGTTCAAGGCCGCTGCAAAAAAAAATTAGAAAACGTCATTGCTCTGCAAATGTATAAAGTCCTACTCATGAAATCAATACCTTTAGCTGCAGAATATAAGGATCCAGCGTTATAGAATGTGACACCCGCAATTGATGATGTGAAAACAACACTTGCCGCTCCTGAAGCTTTCAAAAGAGGATGTGATAGTTGGCACAGGTGATGAGCTGACTCAAAATTGGTACTCATCAGAAAAGAGTAATCTTCAGCCGTATACTCTACAGTTGGTTTCAAGTATTCTCTTCCAACGTTGTTTATCTAGACCCAGAAAATTCAATATTGTAAGCTGCATGATCCCACGTGCATCCTCCAATATAAAAACATGCTTCATGTGGGCTTTTGTGAACTGAACTTGTAACGCTGATCAAATGTACAAGGAACTCACCAGTATGTTGAGTTTTCCGTTTAAAAGTGAAGAGACTGTTTCGACCAGCTTTTCACGTTCAGCGTGAGAAGATACGTCATAGACTGAACCAGTGACTTGAAATCCCTTCTTCTGCCATTCAGCTAAGCATTCGTTGAGTTCAGTTTGGTTTCGAGAGCAGGTATGCACTGTAGCTCCAAATGCTGCCAGTTCCTCCACAATAGCATACCTAATGAATGGTGATTACGGTTATGAAGTGTTTGATCAAATGCAACAGTGAAACAGAATTGATATGTGGATCTCAGAATGCAGAATGTAAATTGAAAAGGGGAAAAAGATGAAGGGATAGAGAAAAATAACCCGATTCCTTTTGTTCCACCGGTGACTAAAGCTGTTTTGTTTT